TTTATGGGAGTAGGACAGGATGTTCAAAACAGAAGCTTCAGTGGGGAAAGGTTTAAGTGCAGAACTCTGCTGACATAAAAGCTTAAGTGCCTAAAATATGCAATCCCAAATTAACTGATGCATAGTTAGCGGGTTATTTTAAAAATGTATTTCTTGGCAAAGAATAGTAACAGTATAATATGCTAGCCAATACTGAATTTGTCTATGTCTGTGTCCACATAACGTGTACTGAGACTGATAAAGAAGACAAATAAACTGGTTTTCTTGTTAACCATTGTTCTTTCTTTGTATACCATTTTGAAAGGTTAACTACCCCTTGGTGGGACCCTGGTTATTGAATTTTGTTTTTCTAATTATTACATTTCATAACAGACACTAGATGTGTTCATCTCCTGGGTGATTCCTGATAAATTAATCCAGGTAACAATTTCTCTTTTTTCTTCACATTTCAGCTACCAGCAGTGGATTAACTTTGCTCCTTTGTTTTCTTGCAGTGAGAGCGTAGGTTATCCCCTCAGTTCTACACAGGCTCTTTTAGCTTCATTTCTGTCCAGTTATGTATAAAAGTACTTGCCTCACATTTTTCAATGGCACATTAGCATTCATAATTCTCCTGAGTCTCACTTTCTAACCTTCTGACTGAATGGCTCTCTGGAGTCTTTTCCATTGCTCATATTTTGTTAATTTTTTGCTATTTCCATTTGCGCTTTTATTAGTTCTCTCTACCATCCTTACCTTTTATAATGTTTTAATTGATTCTTTTGACATTTGGGGTTGCTGATGTGATACACAGGGTGGGTCCAACTCTTTTTTTAGGGTGATGTAGTGATGAGCTCTTGAGGTCTGAACTGCAGTCTGAGCTCATTCAAAGCTCCATTTCCTTCTCTTACAGGTTTCTTTGAGCCACTGAAGCTTATTCAGTTATATTAATAACTGAATTATAAGCATAGGTCGTTGCTTTGTCCTTTGTGTGGTTTTGATGCTAATTCTACTTCAGGATGTTGTGCTCTTTTAATGTGAATATCTTTAATAAAGTTATTTTCCTAAGATGTGCACAGACTTGCTTCAATGGATCATTTTCTACACGCATTTTGAGTTTTGATTCCCAACCTGAGTCTGTCAGAGGTGCATGGCATTTGATATGATTTGGTTTTCTTTCTCTCAGGGGTGAGACTCAACATCCACTGTAGGACTGACTTCAAAGTGCAGCCTCTATGAAAATTTAGCCTGCTTACACCAGGAGATCTGTGAGTCACTATATTACAGTATCTTATCTGCTGGAGTCTACAAAGCATTTCATAGTCTTCTTCACAAACAACATTTAGGTGGTTCATTTCCATAGGAAAAAAATCTGAAAAGCGTAACTTCTAGTGTCCATTAAAAAAGTCCAATCCAAACCCAAACCAGCAACACAGAATGGCTTTTTGTTTTTGTTTTTTTTTAATTTTACTTTTAAAATTATCCTGACTGCCTTTTTACAGCAGTGTGGTAGTGTACCTTTGTGCCACCAAGTCAGGGTTTCTTCTGGAAATATGTGCCTCTGAGCTATAAGTGCTCCAGAGTAGACCTACCCTCTCCAAAAGGAGTCTTCAAGGGTACTTCTGTTACTCTAATCCACTCAAAGTGAGTTGCTTAAAATCTCTGGACTCTCTGACAGATGAAATGGGATTGACTGGAAGACACTCTGTTCTGCAAGGAACTCCAAGCACAGGTCTTTGAAAGGACTTATTACCAGTAATAGCTGCACTATCAAAGTAAGAACAAAGTAAAACTACCAGCTGTCAGCTAGGAGGAATAAATGAGGAAAGGAATGAAAAACTTTGTGTGCAATTGATAATTAATCTGTAAGGTGCTGCAGACTCCACTTAGCTTTTATATTATCTAGAGAGAAAAAGATGTAATCCACCATCATGCATATTCCTCTGTTTTTCTATCAAAAGGTTGTTGGGCCTCACTTCTTCAAAGATTTGTGCACACATTTAATCTTCTGACTTTACAAATGCTAAAATTAAGCATGTAAGTTAATCTCCATGAAAAATATGTGTGTTTGTTTTTTTCACGTCAGCCAAAGCAAACTGCAGGAGGAATCAGTGAAGGTTTCCAAACCATTGTGTTTTAGATTTGCTTGGAGGGGCTCCTGAAGTGCATCTTCCTCTGATTTCTTCCACCTCAGATTTCTGTTACTCTTGAGTATCAGGATTGTGATTGATACACATGATTTTATTTGAGTTATCTGAAGTGCTTTACAGTGAATTTTTCTTTTCCAGACTAACTCAATTTTCAAGAGGAAAAAAAAAGTTCTTGCTTGTGAAAAAAACACAGAAAACACGCTCATTTTGGAGAAAAAATGAATAATCTGCTTTGATTAAAAAATCAAAGCATTCTATTACTCAGATATTAATTTTCTACAGATATAGCTCCTGCTTAGGCAGGTTCTGCAGTACACCTTTTCCTTTCAACCCTTGTTATTTGGTGTATTCATTTCATTTAACAACAAGGAACTGAAACATTACAATGTGGAGTGAGGAAAGACAGCCTTTTAATACCATTTGGTTGTTTGCCAAACATTTTGCAAGCATTCCTGTTAGGACATATTAAGTGAGCATATATACTACATTATATATATACACAGCATATTTATATTCTTACAACATGTTTAAACTTCTCAGTTATAAATTTCTTGTATGTCTAGATTCTCCTGGGAAAGCAAACCTGCACAACCTGCCCTTGTCCTTCTTCCCTGGCAAGGTTAATGTGGCTTTTGTCATGTTGGGGGATCTTGAAGACAAGGTCAGCACTCCCCAGCAGCTTGCAAATGGGTGTGTTTTAAGGAGAAAATGGGAGAGCAAAGCTGAATGGGCTATGTGCGATGAAAAGATAGAGAAGTGATAGTTAGAGATCAAAGTATGTTGATTCAGTTGTATAATTTGGCCTCACTCTCAAACACAGGTTACAGTTCACCAGGGGAAATTTTTCTGTCTGCCTGTTCTCCTCCCAAACAAAGAGGAGGGAAGAGGACTGGAAAAAGGAAGCAATTCTCAGATCTAACCAATTGTTTTAATTGAACCAAGCAGTAGCAGAGCTCAAGTTGGAAGTACTTGGACTGTTGCTGAGTGACATGTTCACTGCTTGTTTCGTTTGGTTTTGATTTAGTTTTGGTTTAGTTTGGGGTTTTTTTTAGGTTTTGTTTTGTTTTGTTTTTTCCTCTTCCTTTGGAAAGGGTTGTAGCAAACTCTATTAAATATGAATGAGTATCACATAATGAATTTTGTATTTTTTTTCATCAAACACGCGGCAAGTTCTTCAAGATGCTTTTCTTGGTAAAAAATGACACAGTGCCAGTGGGAATATTTATATGATCCTTTATGTTCCTCAGCTTGAGGTATGTGAACAGTGAAATTGCAGCTGAGAAATGCTGCAATATTCCAGTATATACTTCATTTCTTCCTCAGCAAGTTCCTACATGCACTAATTACTACAGAAGGGAGATTTCCTTCTCATGTCTTTGACCCAAACTTAAAAAAAACAAAACAGAAAAACCAAAAAAAGGCAAGCAAAAAAACTTTCCACATTACATTCAAAACAAAAGGAAGTAAGTTGTCAGTAGGGAGACTGGTGTGTACTCTCTTAAAATCCTGTCCCTACTGAAGTCTCTCTGAACTTTTCGATGCTATAAAGCATGGCCGGATTTTCTTCACTGATGATGGAAACTTGGCTTTCTGTTTCTTTGGGAAGTCAGTTTTATTCCTTGCTTTGTCTCATCGAAGGGCTTCTAGAGCAGTGGTGTGCGGCAGCGTTCCCCACCATTTTCTGATGGTGTGTACCCATGGGCCTGGTGATGTTTTGTCCCGTAGCATTTCCAGCAATTGGCTGAGGAGCATTGCCCTAAGAGAGAGCTGTGCTGCAGGCATTGACCCTGCATGCACTGCTTACAGCAAGCACGAGGCAGCAGGGAATTCAGCACTGCTCCTCTCAGAGCTTTTCCTTTGCCAAGATATTGCCTGTCCTCTTGCAGTACCGCCACATTGCAGGCTCACCCTGGGTCACTGTTCAAACAACATGCCCAAACAACAGATAATTTTGTTCCTTGGCCCAAATCTGAAAAGGTAGAGGGGAAGTGAGGAGTCCAGCAGAAGGGAAGCTACTCAAATTTTAAGCTAAATTCAAAACCTAAAATTAAATCTGCAGGATCTTCAACATTTTTTCCTTGTCAGCTGGATTGTTTTAAAGCATAAAAAAATGTTCTTTTGAAAGGAGCAGTAAAAATTTCATTCAGGAAAATATTGAAATAAACACCTTGTTCAAACAAGCTTTCAGTTTTAAAAATATCATAATAGTAATGTCAATAGTCACTATTTAAATGTTTTCCTGTTAATTTTTGATCTCTTCCCCTGTCAGATTCGTAAAATATGGATTTATTTCCTTCCCTTAAATTGCCTGGGAGTTGTTGGGAGACAGAATCTTTTTAAAAAGCTCTGTTTGCAAAAAAATGGGCCAAATAATATGTTTTTATGCCTATTGGTTTACATCCTTCCTGGGTAAGCTGTAAAAATATCTGCTTTTTTTCCACAGAAATTTCTATTCTGTGAGATGTACTCCAATCTCCTTTATCCAAAATACTATTACTAATACCTTTATCTAAAAATGCTAATTTAATTTCTGTGAATCTTTCTTCCTGCCATAATGGAAAGCCCCTCAAGTATATTACCATGCCTGCTACTGCTTGCTGTATCAGTTCCACATGCTAATGTGATTTCCTGTAAGAGGAGATGAATATATTTGTTCTGCAGTGAAATCGAGAGGGAAAAAAAAAAACCCAACAACAAAACCAAACCAGAGAAAAGCCTGACCAGTGCTTTAAAGTAAGAGAGAGTAATCTCAATGGAAAACATCAAATTGGTTCTATAGTATGAATGTTAGATGTAAAATCTTGTTCTAGCACGGACTCCAGACCTTCTCTTTTTTTCTGGCCAGTGAAGAGAAAGTGTTTAGCTGATGGACATGAGCCAAAGCCCACTGAGTCTCTCAGCAAGGCTGCTTTCGGCCTCAGTAGGCTGTGGCTTAAGCTCTGTATGAATGACAGTTCCTTTTCAGGAATTACGAAAAAAAAAAAAAAGAACTTATGACTTTTAGTTTCTGACTTCATTTTGCCAAAGTGTTTTACCTATGTTTTTTCTGTTTGAACCACCATTGCCTGATTTGGCTCTTCCCTCCTCTGAAAGGGGTGTTAGGTTTGATGGTAAGGTGGATAATTTGCCATGAAAATGTCAGGGGTAAGCAGCAATCTCAGAGCTCAGTGGCTGAATTGCTCAGTACCCACTGTCCACTTTTACTCACTTTTCATTTCTGAGCATGTGTTATTTTGAAGTACCTCAAATATTCTCAGACTCCAAGCTTTTTTGTACGTGAGCATGTCATTTCCCTTCCTTCTGCTGCAATCACAATTGGATCCTGCAGGCACTTCCCATAACAGGCCTCAGTTATCAATGGCAGGAGTTTCAATGTATTTCCCTTCGCAAAGGCTTTTGTTGCCAGATGAAAGTTGTTACTTGTTTATACCAGGCTGTGAGTAATGCCCTTTTGCTAGCATTGTACACAATGTTTTTGGGTTTTTCGACATTTATCCCACCTGTTGTTAGACAAGGTTAGCTTTGCGAATTGCAAAGAACAATCTTTTCCCCTCAGGTGTCACTTTTTTCTGCATTTTGCTCCTTTTTTTTGAGATTCTTCTCCAATCTGAAAGGTAAAAAGAATAGACAAAAATATAAAAATTAACAAGCTTAGAGGTCTTTTTCAGTCTACTACTTACTGCCATGAATAAATGTTAAACATAGATTTGTGTGTCAACTTTCAGGCTTCTCAGATGCCATTTCTTTTGAGTCTCCTTTAGATATGTTGCAGCACACTGCTTTCATGCTATTTGCCTTGATTTTGTGGAATGCAACCCAAATTGTACCAGTGCCAGCATTTCTGTTAAATGGTAGGATGAGCCCTTTCTCTGCAGACCTCACTCCATCATAGTTCATAAAATAAGACCTTATCTTGTGGGTCATTGAACATGTCCTATGAGAAGAACATTTAAACCATGTTTATTTTGAATATTGACTTTAAGTATTTGGTCCATCACTCTGAAGTCATAACATGATAATAAAAACTGTCCATGAAAACTTTAGCATCTTTTTCATTCTTTTTAATTTCACAGATATCCTTCCATCTGCTTGCTTCCCAACTTTTCTCTGTGTTTTTATTCAAAAAAACAGAGTTGGCTTTACCATGGCTGTATAGACTGTAAGGCACTATACTAATTGCTGTAATGGTGTCAAAACTGTGGAGACACCTTCAGAGCCAAATTACCATTCTTGTGCTGCATTTCTACATGGAAGATGCTCATGCCTACCAGACTATTTCCTTTTGTTGCTTCTTGTACATATATAAAAATCAGCTCCAGCTGCCCACTGTGGAGAAGTGTTTCAGTTTCACATGGTCCCTATGGATCAAGATCCCTGTAGACCTGCTAAGAAGATGGGTGTTTTTGATCTTCCATGCTAGCCAACGTAAAACTGTCTATCTTGTAAATTTATGGTCCTGTACATCTTTCCCACCATTCACTGTTTCAGTGAATTAGAACCTCCCTGGAATGTTCTTTCTTACTTCAGTTATTTTCCACAAACCTCTTTAAAATAACACTTAATCTTGAATCCTGAATATATAGGTAACATCTGCACTGTGCATTCTGCAGTGACAGTTATTTTAGGTGAAACTTGCCATGAGTTCTGATCAGATTCTAATTTTATAGTTGTTCTTTTGTCTTTAGCCACTTCTTTGAAGTTTCCCCGTCTTAGGACTGTGGTAGGGTTTGTGAGAACATTCAAAGAAACAGATAACTATAGTTAAGACTCTGCCTTCTCTCTAGAACTAATTCAGCCAAGGAGAAAAATAAAGGAAAAAATATGCCCTCAGGCACGCTTTCCCTTATGCATATAGTCATGTCCCATGGAAATGTTTATCTGTAAATTAGCATCTTGGTTTAGTCTTGCCTCTCAAGGTTATCTTGTTGCAGGGTATAGCATGCACTTCATAAGTGAAAAACAAGTTTAATCACTGGAATTCTGTTATTTTCAGCTGCAATAAGATGCAAGATCAAGGTAACAATTCTTTTGCCAGCTGGAGCTGCAGGGTAACAGGCTGCTGCTGGTTTTCCCTGTAGACAACAGCAAAGAACACATTTTGTGTCAAAGTAATTGCACTAGCAGGTGCCGTTGAACAACTGTGTTTTGGTTGCGACATTATTGTGGCTCATTGCTTACCACAAATGTTTATGTATAAAAAAATTCAGTTCTGCTTTTAAATTCCTATTCAAGGAAGAATAGGGTAGACAATGGTGAAGCAATAATTACAGTTTAAAAGGGAGCAAGCCTCCTTCCCATTTCTGGTGGGTGAATACCACTGTTCTGTCTCAAGTCCTTCCTCAGGTGTTATCACAGCCACCATAAACCAGCACAGAGTGCTGGCAGCATTAAGAGCTGTAAGAACAGGAAGAGATTGTTGCAGTGGGATACATGCTGATATGATTAGGTCACATGTTTAGAGAACAATGTAATTTCATGCACCACCATACTCTCCTTGCTGAGGGCTCCATGTGCAGTGGACTCTTCTTGCCTGCCTTCCTCACAGGCTCCACCGCAGGACTTGGCAGCTCCTGCTGCAGGAGGAGCAGATGGTGAGAGGTGCAGCAAAGGGAGGGCTGGCAGCACAGCACCTGGGAGCCCATAGCATTTAGGGTGTACAGAAACAGTGATAAGCTTGGTGTAAGTTCCTCCTAGTCTTGTGAATCCATGTAAGTTTACTTGCTGAAACCATTACTTGCTCATGCCAGGCCCAAGGCAATGTTTAATTTGAGCTTTTTGGGGCTGTGGACAGCTGCAGGGAAGGGTATTTCAAAGAAATGCATGAGCTGAAATACCCCATGTCTGAGCTGAAAACCTCGTATGAGATGCCCTGAGGGCATGTTAACAGGTTGCAGGTTATCAGTACACTGATGGGATAGGACAGATATAAGGTCTCCTAAAGATGAATTCCCCAGCCTGAAATTTAACAATCTAAAACTGGGACCTGTGTCTTTAGTGTCCCCATAAAACCCATACGCACCTCATACTGCTTAACCTAGATATCTACATCAAAATTAGTGTGTATCTCTTTTTGGAAACCAAACATTTATGCTTGCATCCTGTCAAATGCGTGCATATGTAAAGACATCAGCTCCTCACAACACACTGAGAACAGTCTGGGGGCAGAGCAGAAATCCAACAGTGTTGTGCTTTTTTTTGTCCAGCACCTCCACCTCTCTCCAGCCCTCCCTTTATCAGGGCTATGAAGCATCTCCATGTCCTTGGCTATTCCACTCCCAACCCCTTTGTTTTCATGCTTGTGAGAATGAAAAATACTGTCATGTATTTCAGTTTGGGTGGTATTCATATTTTGTTTTGCTAAGGAAACATCCCTGAGCTCTTGCTAACATCTTTATATGCATGACTGTGGGGGAGTTCCCTTGCTCTTGTCTGTTTGGCATCTCTGCTGCCCTTAGAGCACTCTAGTTTGGTGTGGTTGCCATAGTCTGGTACTCTTCAGAGCACAGTCTCTTTATCAAATCGTTTTCTTACACAATGTCCACGATACAGGTATCAAAACCATTTGTATTTTTATTTCTTTTTCTTCCTTTTTTGTTTTCCTCCCTTTAAACAGCTCAGTGAAACCCCCAAAGCTGTCACGTGTTTCAACTGAATAGCCACAACACTGTGGTGCTGTGCAATACTTTCCCTTTCCTCTCTCCCTACCCCAGATGTCACATGCCCTCACTGACTCACCTAGAATGTGGTTGGAGACTCCTGGCATAGACTGACTTTGATCTACTGATGGGAAACATCTACTGATGAGAACCACATTCCACCAGAACAAAACTACTGCATCCAAAGGGACATTGCTTATCTGCTCATGCCAGTGTTTCTGACAGAAGACATGGCTGACCAGTAAACTTGGGTGCTTTTGGAAGGGATTTCCTCTTTTGGGCTCTCTGAATGATTTTGAGGCAACATCAGGCTAAGAACACCTCTGCTCTCTGACACAATTTTATTTGGTCATTTATGGGGCACTTGATTGATCTTAAGATATTCATTTTTGTAAATAATATGGCTAAAGTGGACAAAGCATGGTATTGGTTCCTTTTCTAGTTCTTATGACTGCTCTTGCTTTCAGTTTTGTAGAGGAAATCTAATGCTTCAGACTGGGCTATTCTACTGAAGTTCTAAAAACTGCCTTCTCCCACTGTCAACAAGCATAAGCTTGGGACCTGCTCTTGGGTGCCATTCTCAGGGCTGCGAATTTGCCCTGGGCACAGCAGTGAGGAAATCTCAGCTTGCAGTATGTGCATCTCCCCTCATCAAACTGAAAGCCAAGACAGTTCACTAGACATTAAAAAATCTGGATTTTCTGAACTTTTGCAAGACATTGAAACTTGAGGCATGGAGTGACTAATAAAACTGGATCAGAAGAAAATGTATAAATTTTGTCATCTAACAGAAAATTTCATGAAAAGGATCTGAGGGATTATCTGAATGTGAAGTTTAAGCTTAAATATGTGGATTGTGAGACTATGAAAGTAAAACAAAACCAACCAAACACACACAAAAAAGTGGGATCATTCACTTGGAGTGGAATAAGCTGTTTCAGTTCCTTATGGCATTTCCCCATACCAAGAGGGTTTGTTCTCTGCAGCAGTGGGGCAGCAGCTGCCATCTCACTGCAGAGCACAACAGATGGTGAAGAGGAAAACTCTGCTCTGCTTTTGGTGAGTTTCTGGTCTTTCTTCTTTCTGCTGTTTACATGGCATGGGAGATAAAACAGCCCAATGTAGGGGCAGCATTTCTATCTACCATTTTGTTAAGCAAAATACCCACAAGATTATAATTTGTCTGTTTTGTTAAAAACAGGTGAAGAACAAGAGGTAATTAATTTTGGTGAAGTCAAAGGGGAACTGTAACTTCCTGCAGCAGGAAACCACCATCTACTGAAAGAAGGGTGCAGGGTAACTTCTAACCTGGAACAGCGACTACAGATGCTCAGAAGAAGCAGGAGGTTGAGGAGGACAGGAGCAAAGCTGATCTAAGATTTCCCTGTTCTCATTCCTTTCCGCTTTAATTCCTCCTCTCTGTAACCAGTAATTTTCTCTTCTTTTAGATTGGTGTAATACCCACACTTCTATGCAGGTATCTTTCTAAATGAATTATTTTAGCCCAGTTTTAAAGATGGAACTGAACTAATAATCCACAATCCATGATTTCAGGTTACTTAGGGGGGAAAAGAGTTATCTCCAGAGTGTGTGGGTTGGCTGTGCTGCCCCTGGGGACATCCCCTGTGTGCTGTGATCTGCCCATCTGCAGGGCTCTGCAGCGTCGCTGGGAGAGGGGCAGTTGTGCTCTGTCTGTCCTTGGATGAACGCTCCGTCTCCTTGGTGACAGCTGGGCTTGTTGTCTCCTTGGCTCTCAAATCCTGACAAGGCAGGTGCTGGTGGTAAAAGGGAAAAGAAGGGGAGGAATGGTTTACCCAAAAGAAGGTAGCTAATGTAACTGCACAAAGTCATCTTCTGCACACTTTCATGTAAGAAGTCCACAGTTTTCCTGAAAATGCTGTTGCTGAGAAGGAGAGGGGCTGCTTAAAGCCTGTTTTTCTTTTTGGCTGCAGAATGAACATTCACCATTCCCTCTTGGAAGTACTTCTTATCCCACCCTGAGGAGAAATACTTATTTCTCTTTGCCCTGGACCAGCACATGAAGAAGTTACTTTTGCAGCTCCTTCCAAAATTTCCTTGGATGAAACAGGACTTGACACTTAACTCAGGAGTGGGTCATCACTTTTTAGACCCGTTCTTTGACATAAAATACTTTTTTCAAGTCAGAAGATATTTTCTGGCCAACATGCAGTCTGGAGTAATAATAAATGGATAGCTCCAACATTTTGTATGTGTCTCCCCACACCCATAAACTTTTTAAAAATCAACTTCCAGTCAGGAACTATTGATATACCTAATCTTTAAACAGCTATTTCCCTAACAGTGCCCTTCCCAGTGGTTTATTCCCACAAACTGTCTGCTTTTATTGTTGTGCAGGGTAGAAACACAAGCTGACAGTCAGCAGTCTGATAGTAAAACATCAACTGGAGCAGTAACAACCAGGAAACCTGACATGATGCAATCCAGAGAAATCACTCTCAAGATGTTAGCTTGGGGCTGGGAAGAGAGGGGAATAGCAGATGTACCTTCATGCGTTTAAAATACATATGACATTTAAGATATTAACTGTTTTCTTAAACTGATCTGATACTACATTTCCTAAATTTTAAATTCATGACAAAGACATCCCTGAGCTCAGAAGAGACAAATAACCTTCCCATCATAGTCTAGGAGAGATGCATATTTCAGGGGTTATTTATTGGTACAGTCCTCTCAGCCCTCCTCCTTCCTTCCCTTCTGCCAAGTGTGCAGCTCGGGGAGCGATGCCAGGCTGATAAGGTCTGTGCTCATGGGCAGTGACGACGTGTTAGAAGGAATGCTGTGAGGGTCTGAAAGTCTGCACTGCTCTGGAAATTAAAAGTTGATGGGCTATGACTGTACCTGGATTATGGTTCTTCCTGAAAACCTAGAAAGCGGAAAGCAATGAACACAGATGCTAATTTCCTGGGAAAGAGGGAGGAGCTTTACATTTTTATACGTATAGATGTGGGGGGAAAAGCTCATTTGAATTTTGTGAATATCCAGCAAAATCTTTTTCCTTTCACTCACACAAGTTCTCCTGCTAGCAGTGAGGGAACTATTTGTCCCAGGTTCTGAGTGGGAAGAAAGTGCACATAGTGTTGTTTCAGGGCATTCGTGCTCAGAGTTGCTCCCAGCAGAATCAATGGGATTGATGTTGTTATGAAAGCAGCAGTGAGGCTGGCTGCTTCTCATCAGGTGATGATACAGAAATCAGGAAGGAGTCACATTTTCTCTTCTTATACAAGAGAGAATGACAATTACATTTTGTCCTTTGCCTTTCTTTTAGCACTGCTTTTCTTTAACTCTTCAACTTTACTCAGCTCTTTGACAGCTAGTTAATTTTCAATAAATAAAACATGATTTTTAACTTGATCAAGTCAAGTTTCTCTACAGATTGCTGGGCTTAAAATGCTACAGGTCTCTGCATGAATCACAAGGAGACAAAAGACATCTCAGATTTCATGGCTGTTTACAGTAGGGCTAATATCAAATCCTTTATCCAGCAAAACACATTAGATCAAAACTCAGAGGACTAGAAAAAATTACTTTGCTTGATTAACTTTAAGCTGACAAGTCTGAAAACATCAAACAAGAATCAGTCTGCTTCTGAAATTTGTTTCCAGTTATAGAACATGACCTTCTGGATTCCCAGCAGCATCACATCCTAACTTAAAAGAGCTGCACTTTCCTCTCACCACAAAGGTTCCCTCACAGACTCTGCTGGGTTGGATAAAACCATTGGACACCCCTGCTGAAGTCCTCTATCCATGTTAAGAGGTCATAATAATCATAATCAGAATGATCTGGTGAAGACATAGAGCACAAATCCTGTGAGGAGTGTGTGTGGGGAGGTGTTTATCCTGAAGAGGGGGAGAATCATGAAAGACCTTACCACTCTCTACAATTACCTGAAAGGAGGTTGTATCCACGTGGGTGTCAGGCTCTTCTTGCAAGGGACAAGCAACAGAGAAAGAGGAAGCAATTTGCACCAGAGGAGGTTTGGATTAGATTGGAGGTTAGGAAAAACCTCTTCACCAAAAGAGCACTGGTACAACCTCTTCACTTGTCAAGCACTGGAACAGGCTACCCAGGGTTGAGTTGCCATGTCTGGAGGTACTCAGAAGACGTGGTAGATGTGGTGCTTAGGGATGTGGTTTACAGGTGCACTTTGGGCAGTGTGATTTTAATACTTTGTCGTGGTTTTAAAGCTGTAACTAAAAAAATTACTTATTTCTTGCTATGAGATATGGATTAGAACAAGAGCAAAACAGGCTTAAAACTTAAAAGGAATAAAGAAAGTTTATTAACAAAACTACAAGAACAAAAAACACCAGAAAAAATTTCCAGAAAACCCTTTTATCTCTCACTACTTAACCATTCTCTTGTACACATGACTACATAGAGACAAAAACTTTGGATCTTTGGTGTTTAAAACAGTCCCAATTTCTGCTACAGTCTTTTCATCAGTCTTTGTAGAGAAACAGAAGTCTCCTTGTGCTAATCTATGGAGTTTCTCACAAGAAAACTATTTCTATTATAGCTTTCTATTTTTCTGATGCCAGCTGCCCAGAAATCTGTCATCAGATTTTCTCCTCCCATTTCACATCACTCTGAGATGTGTATGGGCCATGAGTCTAGGGATGTCATTTTAAGGTTGAGTTATTCAAAGGCAAAAGTCTTCTTCATCTGTTTCTGTGAGCTTTGCTGGAAAACAGTTTTCTCATTGCCCCCCAAGGCTTCAAATCTTCGCTTCACTCTGTTCCAGCACTTCACTGTATCACAATTACTCTACTTTTTACTCAAAATCCACACTTTGAACATTCCATTCCTCCCAATATACTCTGTCATGAATTAAAGGAGTTTTTTTCAAGACCTTATTGTCCATCTCCATAGCTTTAACAGAAAAATATTTCAGCTTATAAAGCATCTCCATATTCTCTACCTTTTCTGAAGCTTCTTTTTTTTACTGTTTCTGATAGTTTATAAAGTCTCTTTACATGTTGATTACTCTCTTTTTCTCTCTCTGGAAAAAAAGGATTAATCTGCAAGTCTAATCTGGGTAATGAAAAGGTTAAAATCTTGCCCAGGCTTTGTAGATGGTTCTGTGATCTCTGCCGGAGCAGCGGCTGGAGCCGTCTGCGATGGAAGATTCTTCATGGCTGCTCTGGAGAGTGTGGTCACTGTCTCAACGCGCCACAGGTCAAGAGCTTTTTTTCCTTTCTTTACTCGGCAGCCTCTGGTGAATTCAGTCACAGCAAAACCTGCAGCCGAGCCAGGGACCGGCCTGGCCCGGCCAGAGCCCGGGGCAAGCCCCGCAGGCCCCATCTCCCGGCCGGGAGCTGCTGCAGGCCCAGCCCAGCCCCTGCTCCACTGGGCCGCATGGCCTGGGCAGGGAACAGGAGCCAGCTGGAGCTCTGTTACCTTTCACAGCCAGAACACAAAGAGGACAAGAGAGCTTTAACTGTACATCTTAAGGGGATGTTTACAAGTTGACTTCACTTTTTAATGGTGAAAACTGCTGTCAATTCTTAGAAATGACTGATAATTGGTCAGGAGAAAAGACTCCCGTCAGCCACCAGCAGCTTCAACTTCCTTATCTCCCAAAACCATCTGAAAGGTAAAGCCACCCCATGACATACTTGTCCTTGATGGTTTTAAGGTATTTTCCAACATAAGCAATTCTATAATTCTGTGATTTTATAACTCTATCTCCTTGTCACCCTCACATCCAACCCTTTGAGCAGCAGACTTACCCAATGGAGACACTGCTACAACTTCGTACTTGAGGTGAAGGATATTCCTTCAGCAGGCATTATCTTGGCGATGGAATTGTCTGCATTGTTCCCAAATATGGGATTTTTTAAAATGGATTTTCAGTATATTCTGGCAGAGTTTCTCTTTACACAACACAAGCCAAAAACTTACATTATTTACACAACAGACAGTTGAGTGGCCTTGTCTCAGCCACAAGAAGGGGTAAAGCACAGACCTGCTGGTCCAGGCAGACTTACAAGCCAAACTCCAGACATCATTTCCCCGTGGTTTTTTTTTTCCTCACTGCTGTCTTCATGTGAAAAGACACAGTCTTCCAGCAGGAGAGCTGGCAAGAGTTCTCTGCCAGATGTAGAGCATTGAGTATTGAAACAACAAAGGCACAAGGTCCCAGCACAGAACAGGGAAAAAGATTTCCCTGCAAGATTTCATTTACATATCTTGGGCTTGCTCAGGGTCTCAGTAGGGAAGGTAACAGGCAAGCTGTTATGTGAGAAGGAGGTAGGAAAGGAAATAACAAACTTAAAATGATTAGCTGTTTGTTTTTGGGGCTATGAAACAGAACTGTGCTGATTTAAAGTGGGTAATCTTCTCTCCAGCCTGTGTAGCACTTTCAAACAGGTGACCTTAGCTCATACAGGTTTTAGTAGACTGAAGTCATATAAAGAGGCAAGGATGAAGAATACTCCAGCAGTTTACACACTGTAGAACAAGCATCCAGTGTTCTGGGTTTTTTTTTTTTTTCAGTGAGCATTCTCACTGTGTGTTTATTTTCATTCCCTTTAGCGAAAGTATCAATGAACAGAATTTTAGAACCAGGCATGAATACACTTCCCTCAGACCCTTACAAGTGATATACTGGTATTTACCCAGTCAGGGTAACCAGGTCAATTGTTTTTGGCACAAATCCATAAGCATCAGTTCCTCTGTCTGGCAAATGCTGTTTTTGTAGCAATCGTTGGGACTGCTGTCTAGTTCACTTCCAAAACATCCTGATAGAAAACAAGGAACAGATTTAGCAAAACAGTCAAGTCCATGTAGAGCAAAAGCAGTCATCTGAGGAAGGTGATTTCCATATATATATGAAGTAGTCCAAGGAACTGCTAAAAATATCTGCAAAACAAATATATAACTCCAGTTTTCAATAGGTAGAATTTTCTCCAATGCCAGAGTTTAAAAGTGGGACCTATTTTACATTGACAGTAATCTTCAGCACATAAGGAAATTTCATTCTATGACCTGCTTTGGTTTTGCCCTTATCCTTTAAAATTATCTGCCAAAATTAGCTATAACATCCAATATTTGGATGGAATATCTTTGGAAGAAGTTATGTGGTATATTACTTATTTATTTATTGTGTGGGGTGACAGCTCAGGAGTTACAAGAAGTGCAATGCCTAATGCAATCAATTCTCAACAAATTAATAAATT